TTGTAGAAGAAGGAGTCTTCATCAGTCTCCTAGTCCTCTCTCTTTTCGACTTTGGGACTCCGGAGAGGCAGTTAGGATGGTTGCTCAGATGGTCCAGGTGGTGTAAAGTCTCGCTGAATTCCAATAATCAACCCCAAGACTCCCTCAACCTCAGAAGAGGTGGGGGAAGCCAGCCTTGGCTCAGAAGCCTTTTTGGGGGCAAACTGGGCCCCTTGAAGAGGAGAAGGGGTCGGGGATTAAGATAAGGGAGTTTGTCCTCCTTTGCTCAAGGCAAGAGAAGATGGCGCTCCCAGTTTCTGCACTTTAGCCCTGTCAACAAGGTTGCTTCTAGAGCTGGTCTCAGCCTTCTGTTTGCTACTTTTTCTACTCTTCTTCAGTAGGTCAATCTTAGCCTGGAGTTCCTCAGGGGTAGATTTCATTATGGAGGAGCCTGAGAGATCTTAACCAAACAAGTTAAACAAAAGAGAGGAAGAAGAAGGGAAGGCAAGGGAACCAACTTAGAAAGTGTTACCTTCTATGTCTTTAGGTCTAACAACTGAGATGGAGAGTGAAGCTTCTATCAATACCTCAGGAGGACTAAATCCATGTGTTACTAAGACCCAGGGCTTGATGAGCTCGAAGTACTTCTCTGGACTACATTTCTCCAACTTTCGCTTCAGCCTCTCGTCCTCAGCACTAGGATCAGGTTGAATGCCTGAAAAACAACACAAGGAGAGCAAAGGTTAAAAAGGCAACTTGATAATTTCCAAACCAGAGCTCAATCAATTCGAGCAAGGACTCACCTAAGTTATCAAGGACGGACCAAGTTCTAGGGATACCCAAAGTATCAGTCCTATCAGTAGGGTTGTACTCTCAGTTACTGCCCCCAACGAAAAAGAATTATTTCTTCCAACCCTTATGGGAGCTCGGGAGGTGAGTAATGATCTGCTTAGCCGTGGTTCACTTTGAGATATATAAGAAACCCTCTGATAAGGTGAGCTTGACATTAAAAAAATCCACAAGCAAGGAAAGGCTAGGGACCCCAAGCTCATGTTTCTTAAATAAAACTAGAAGACCCACCAGGACACCCCAGAAAATTAGGGAAGAGATGAGCAGGACAAACATTAAAGTGTTGCAAAACACTTTTGATAAAGGGATGCATAGGGAAGCGAAGGCCATTCTCAAAAGCGGCCACAAAGAAACAGACTTTCTTATGAACCTGGGCAACATATGGGGTGTATTTATCTGGACACCAGGGCTGGATACCAGGAGAAAAACCGTAACGAGCACTGAGAATTTTTATAAGAGAAGAGCCAACCTCACTGGGTCCTACGAGCTTAGCATGTCTAACGGCAGCCCTTACCTTTGTTAGGATTAGGAGGCACAGAAGAAGACGGGGGGTGGTTCCTTAGTATTTTTCTTGGCATCGACAGCATCTACACTGGGAAAATTATCGATTTCCTTGCCCACATCCCTTAAATCAGTGTCCTCTTCGGCAAACCTTTTCCCTAAGAGAGAAGCATAGGAGCGAGTAGCTCTAGAAGGAATAGACATGACTGGACAAGAGAAAAGTAAATTGAAAGAATGGTAGAGAGAAAGAATACTAATTAAGCACTCCCTGATAACCCTAGGGTCAACGCAGTAGCTTCTAATAGCAAGGATTTGCACAATAGAAGACCAGTCCACGAAGTGGGGAAGAGAAGACAAGCAGTAGTTTCGATTCCAAAAGCAAAAAAACCGAAAAGCCCATAAATGCAATGGCCACCTCCAATTCAAGGGATCTAGAACGAGAAAAAGTGAAAAAGGGACAAAAGGGCGTACCTAGTTAGGAAAGAGCAACAAACAGCAGCCTAGAGCAAAAAGGCAGAAAGGGGGCAATGCAAATCTTCAAATCGAACCCACAAAACTTGATCTTGAACGAGGAATCAGAGAACTCCAAACCAGAAAGCTAGGAAATCACAAGAAGAGAGAAGCAACGGAGAAGTTGAATAGTGGAAAAGGGCAGTTCAGATAGCCGTTTGAGTATTTAAAACTTGAGAGATGTGGGCTGAAATATACACGAGAAACGAGGAAACCATGATTGCTGAAAATCGTCAAAAAGGCCTCACTCACGTGCAAGCCAAGGTCAGCCACGTGCAGATCCAGCTCGATTTAAAAAGTAGCTCAACCCTTGCCCAAGCCTGCTTGAACTAGGGGCTGGGGGGCAACTGATAATACTTCAAACAAGCCCTAGCTGTGAACTCAGGGAAGGAGGCCAGGTCAGGAGGTCAAGAAAGACACGGAGAACTCAGAGAACCAAGGGTAGAGCTCCCTTTGGGGAGATCGTAGCAGAACCGACCAGGAAACAGCTAGATGACTGCGAAAATTGAGCCCAATGCATGAAACTCTCAACCAACCAAGATTCTCTCCTAAAATCAAGGAGGATCCCATTAATAATTGGCAAAGATCCCGGCTGAAATCTCACAGAATAGAGAGCAACCTTATAAATACTATGTAACGCCTCATCGAGAGGGGGGACCCTAGAAAAATCCTAATTAGATCATGCATTGTACTGTAATACATTCGAGTAATCAATAGAGAAAAAAGAAGCAAGAGCCTCCATTAAAGAGTGGATTAGCCGAGCTCTAGAGCCGGTGAACCACTATATTCCTACTATTCAAATTCCCCTACCACCTAAGAAACACTTCATCACTGTCATTATGAAGTTGGCAGCCTAGATTCACCTTTGGTCCCACGCACTCTGTTCACCCACGTTAGTTTTCACCATCAAGTGTAAAACCCAAGTGTTGGTTGTGCGAAATCTAAGATCATTCCAAAAGAAATCGTGAATCACTTAGAACACAAAGGAAAAAAAAATTGCTTTAAAAATTATTGAAGAGATTTGAAATTAGAAAATAGTAAATTTGGGTTTTTAAAACATAATGTTGACCCAATTTTCGAGTTCAAGTAAGAATCAGCTGTGAAGTGATCTTAATAAGAATATTTAACGGGTGAAACATACATAAGTATAATTGATAAATTATTCGGATAAATCTAAGTATCTAATTGCAAATCACAAAAATTCATCATGACAGAGTCTATGATGAATCAAGTTTTTTAACAACTAAAACATATTGTTATCATAAACAAGAAATCAATTATTTATAAAAAAACCTAATCAATTAATTCAAACATGCAAAACCAATAATTTGACTTATAGGAAATCTCACGAATTTGATGTATGTAGCATAACAAATCAAAAGATTTTAAATAGCAAAAACATTACTAAAAGACATAAATTAAATCAAAAGAAAAATCATACATTAAGAATATTGGATCAAAAACAATACTATGTTGTATTGAAAGATTCTCCCATAACTTTAGATGGGGATGTAAGAATCCATAAGAAAAGAAGAACAAAGACTATAGAAGAGACTCTTCGATAAGAATGAATACAAATCAAGGTTTACATCCCTTTATATAGGTATTATGAACCAAAAACCTAATTAACTTCAAAATCTAAAGGAATCGGCCAAAATTCATCATCGCGTCTGGATGCATGTTTTGAACTACCCGAATGCACCTTGTTGTCTTGGCTTCTCTGCTGATCGCTTTTGAACTTGTGTTTTCAACCATCCAGATGCAAATTTTCTTCAATTTGTCTTGCACCTACTGGATGTCGCGCTTGTCCGCGTCTTCTCCTCCGTCCGGAAACATGACTCTGTTTCTTTTTTTTTTTGCCTTCTAACTATTCTAAATCTTTCCTCCTTCACGAATTTGTCCCCTTAAGTATTGAAATCACCTATATTTACCTAAAAATTGACAAATACTATAAAAGAAATGTAAGATCCAAAAATAAATGAATTTAACACAATTAGTTCTTTACCCAAGGTAATTAGCCAATTATTATTTTAGTATTCATGTAATATTCATGGCTAATCACACATCATAATGTTCCTTACCATCTTAAGTCTTTACTATCCTTGATGAACTCACCGAGATGACCTTCTTGCACAAGCATCTTGATAAAGGCCTTGAATTCTAGAAAATCCTCAAAAAGGTGCTTGGTATCCCAATGATACGAGGATTGAGCAGTCGAGTTTTAGGTTGAGGGGTCACCTGCATCTTGCATGGCCACTCAAAGAATGGATCCTTCTTAATCTTATGGAGAATTTTATAAATAGGTTCCTTAAAGACAGTGTTGATTCCTTTTAAGGAAATTTGAGTTAGAGCCTGAGAGGTCCCCCCCCCCCACCTTTCTTGCTCAAGATTTCTGACTCCTTCCTCTTGGCACCATGACCCTTACCCTTAGTCCCAATAGTGTCATTCTCCACCTTGGAGTACTTTTTGATGTGGGCTTTGATGTCATTTATGTTGATGGGTGTTTGTTTTGCTAGGGACCGATACAGGTCAGTATCCTGAGACAATTTGAGCCATTGCTGCTATCGTTTTCAAGCACCCTTCCAACTTGTTTACCTCCTCCATGTATTGGGTTGCATACTGTTGAAGGACACCCCTCCTTGTGTTTCAACATGAGGAGGGCGTCAATTTCTTTTGGCCTGTTGCTGTTGGTGATGAATCGGGCAGTGAACTACTTGGTCATCTGCTTTTGGGATCTTATAATCATAAGGGCCAAGAACTCGTACCATTTCATGGCAATATCCTAAAGGTTCACTAGGAACACCAGCCACAACAACCCATGGTTGGTGTCATAGAGAGACATAATTTGTTTGTATTGTTGAATGTGACTCTTGGCGTCAGTCCTCCCGTCATAGATTGTGAAACGAGTGACGGTAAATGTTCTCGTCATCTCCCGTCTCTAATACTTTTGTCAAAAGGGGATATGAATAGTTTGTCCTTGGCATACCCTTTACTACTTTGTGTTGGTGCGACTTGTGGCGTCGAGTATTGAGGTGAGATCGGAGGTGTTCATCCTTACGTGGGGGATCTTCCTTATGCCTTAGGGTTTTGCTAATCCCCATATCTTTGTCTGAGATGGTGGAGTCTTCCTCAATCCTATCCTTCTCGGGGGTATAGAATAGCTAGTGTCGGAGGTCTCCATGCCGTACCTTTTCCCATTTTCCACCAGGATTGCCCTTAGGGGTGCTCCCACTTGTAAGGGCGTGAGTCCGCCTTTCACCCCAAGCGGTGGCAGAGGACTCATCTAGAAAGATCATCATAAGAAAATTCTCAAGAGCAAGTGTGGTAAATTCTCTAACTAGCCCAACCCTTACTTTGGCGACTTGTCCCCCTGGAAGTTCTAGTCGAGCACTCAAACTCGTCTAGCCTATTTAGTACATTTAAATTGTCACATTCTATTTGTTTTAGGCAATAGCCTAGTCATTCTTCCACTAAATACATCAACTCAACGATGATGAGTCCCCTTTGCCAACCGAAGCTCCGATCAATGTGTTGAGTGTCTTGAAGTTTTGTTGAATGCCATCAAATTAGTCCAAATGTTCAGACTTCGTTGGAACAAAAAGTTGGGCAACCTTTGTGTTTCACATACAAGGGTTATCCTCTGCATTACCCTATGAGCTAGTGTTCACCATGATGTCTACTATGAGGGATTGATTTAATACTTCTCACAAATGGCATCAAATTGCCCGGGTGAATTCCTACAATATTTTGAGATAGTGACTCCTGGTTGAACTTGGGATGATTACAAAAATAAGGAATAAAGTTAGAAAGGGGACAGATGTGTATCTGGTGTATGCCCTCCGATGCTTAACTCAGTCGTCGCTCAAGGGTGAAAGGATGTGAGTATTGTGCAATTCTAGTTTAGTATGCATACCTGAGTTCTGACTTATTAAGCTATCTATACCTTCAAAGATGATGAAATGAGAATCACCTGAGTACATCAAGCCTAGGCCTGACAACCTACGGTTGGAATCACTCCTTAAGGGCTATCACATCAATAGATGTTTCATCATTGAGTCACGTGTTTAGTATACCCTATCATACCTCATCATTGCTTGGCAATGGGGTGTAATCATGAATTTATTACTTGGGAGGCCGAGCATTTATTATTGGCCGCCCTTTACTCATTATGTCATCCCAAACATCAAATGTTTCATATCGAGCATTCATGGTCCTAGGCCAAGCATTTAATTTGATGTGCACATGGGTCATCTACGTTAGGAAGGGCCATGCTTTCTTCTATTATTCGAGGGATCTGATGGTTGACTTAAGTTAATGTGATAGGATGATAATTGCTTGTCACATCAACTCATTTTGCAAGAGGTACGCCTCCCAACAGAAATTAACTCTCGGGTTCACCCATGAACACATTCTCTTCCTCATTAGAAAAGTCAATCCCTCCCCTACAACTCCAAAAAAAAACAAGCCAAACTTCTAACAGCCCGTTCGTTTCCATAGAACAATATCGTGCATCTCAAGCTATTAAACAGACAAAATGGGGAACATAGGTCTCCTGAATAATCCCTTATTTCACTTATAGGGAAATCAAGGAATAAAGTCTAACTTTTGGAGTTTGACCCTCCATTTGTTTTGTTCTAGATGGCCCGTCAAAGTACATCTCTCACTTTGGAAATATATCTTCTCGGCCTTGGAAGAATTAGTTCAATCGGTCTTGGTGTATGGCAGCTCGGGGTACACGCCTACTAGCAATCCTATACGATGCGGCAACTCACGAGTGGCGTGCCACCCACATTCTATCAGAACCCAAGAACAAGGAATTACATTTTCCAAACCTGCCTGTTTGCATTAGGAACAAGAAGCATAATTTCATCAGACAGGATCAAGGTTCAGCCGAGGTGTCTTCCAATTCTTCTTATTCTTTACCTAGTTGAGTGGAAGGTGACACTTCAAAATAATTCTCTAAAAACAAAACTCTAAAAATATGCAATTGCAATAAAAATGTGAAAAAGGTTAAGTTCAAACACATAATAAAGAACTTGGCATTGGAAAAGCATCAGCCCATTACAACAAATGCGATTTGATTTGTGAACCAGAATGGCTAGAGAAAAATAAAACAGAGTGTAATGAGTTACAAGAAACCATTGCAAATAAAAAGATATGCGGCTACAAAATGCTTCCCCTTTGGAGATTATATGGCATAACAAATTGATCAACAATCACGCAATTATTCTTTTGTATCGTATCGCTAATCTATATACAAATGACATTCATCCACATCAATGAAAGGACACCAAAACCTTGGTACCGTACATACATGCATTCCACTCAGAGCAAGGACTTAAGACTGTTTATGGTTTCTGTTGCGTTTATATGGAGGGGATGATGCAATCAATAATAGTCAAAATGTAGGTATATTGCAAAAAAACAACGAGTCTTTCTTGAATAGAAAGGGTGGCAAAACAAGTCTAAAAAAAGATGATGTTGTAGTAAAAGAATGAATAGATCATAAAAAAAGTGTCACAACAGTATAGTCAAACTATTCCTATAATTTATTGTTTCACAACAATACAATCAAACTATTCATAACAAAGTCTCACAACAGTACATTCAAACTATCTTATCTCCCTACACTAAGTACCATATTTATCTGAAAAATAATATAGCGTAAATTATATTTGTGACCTATCTCAACTATGAGATGTATTGTATGTCTCTCTATACAAGAGTGTGTAATAGATGTATGCAAAACACCAATAATTCATGGTAAACAAATGTAGCAATTTGTGGGCATTTGGTCCTTGAGTGTAGACCCTATAGGCCGAATTAAATCTCTTGTTTTTGTATTTATCTATTTTGTGTTCTTGATCTTCAATCTAAAATTTATTGAGATAATCTAGATTTACCTCAACCTGGCGCCCCAGTGATTGCACATAGTTAATTATTTTATCAAACATAACTTTTTTAGTCACTTGAGAATAAAAATCAAGCTCAACTTAAGACTTTTTACACTTTCCCTCTAGAAATTCAAGTACAATCGCCCAAAAAATCTGTAGAATCAATATATTTTGAGCACCTTATTACAACCTGTACAAGATCTTGAAGAAACTTCATCCTCTCACTATTTTTTTCTCTTCAAACCTGCCCGATGATGATCAACATGATTGAAATATAAACTTAAATCTAATTCTTCAAATGGCATTAAAGACAAAAACAGAGAGAGAAATGCCATAATTCATAGCCTTTCAGCAAGACGATGGCTATCTGTCACCTGATCCGTTCAGTAACCAAAGACGCAAAACTACAAAATGGTAATCTTTGGCATCAAAGTTCTAAATTTTGGATATCAACTTCTCCAAAATCAATCATTAAGACATGTATCTAACATAAGGAAATGTTAAGACTATAAATTTCATATTGAGTAGAAGAAAATGAAATGTACAGACTAGGAGGCTTTTCATATTGAATATCATGTTCTACAATAGAAAACTCCATTCTAAAGACATTGTTTTAACAATTATGTTCCAGTAGTTAACTAAAACCCTTGAATCACATTGATTAGTTTATTTCATCCCAATCCAATCCTTGAAATGAATGTGGCCACTTATTAGAGATAAAAATTAAATACAACCAATCTTATCTCTTGTTATGTCATAGACCTCTACAAGTTCAAATTCAAGTTGTATTTTAAACTTCTACTAATCACACTACAAGAAAAATGCCTTGTTGCTTTGAAGTTATTTGTTTTGGTCTAATGCCGAAACAAAAAATATTTTCTACTTCTGTCAGGAAAATTGAAGCAAAAAATAGAATATTTGCATCGGCATTAGGGCAAAGCAAAAACATTTGAAGTAAATATTCAATTTTTTTTTGCTTCGGCTAAATTCTAAACCAAATTCTCTTTTTTTTACTTTGGTATAAACTATCGAAGAAAACAATAAGAGTATTTGATTCGGCAAGAGGCCCAAAGCAAAAATTAAGGGTATTTGTTTTGGGATTGAGCTTAAGCAAAAAAATTTAATTCAAATTGACGTAGTTTCATGTTAATTTGTCACAAAATGACGTCATTTTGAACCCAAAAATCCAACATTTTCCTCGTCCATTTACGTTTTCCCTCTTCCCCATTTCCCTCCATCAATCTGTCACCTCCACCGATGAAGTCCCCAGTCTCTGGCGAAGTCTCTTGCCCTTTTCAACACCATAAATGGAGACGATTTCTTTCATAAATCAATTTTGACGATCGCCCCCAAAACATAATTCACAAACGTAGTAGAAAAAGCAGATCCATTTCTGAAACTCCTCAATTCTATCCCTTTGACTCCTAAGTCTAATGTTGGATTAGGTAACGAATCGAATCTCAGTTACTATTTATTTATTATAAAGGCCCAATTTCCTTCTGTTATTATATTTTACTTTGTTCTCAAGATTAGGGTTTTTGCGTCATTGTTGTATTCAAACTTGCAAATTTCCTCCATTCATTGTACGAATATTTATTTAGGTTTTGGACTGATATGGTTGTTGATCGTCTAATTCAATGTTTGAGTCGGATGCATTTTTTATTCATGATCTGAGTTGATTTTTCTTTGCTTCAATTTATTCTTTATGTTAACATCTTCATATCACTCAGACCAGTTTTGGGGTCTACTATGCTAGTTGTCATTGTTGTTGCAAAAGCATATCTGTTGAATAAGTAAGCAAATTAGTTCATAAAATTCTATTGTGACCATATTTTCCATCACCATTGAAGATGAATTCTTTCGTTTATATGTTGATTGTGAGCGGATGCGTTGTTACATTATCAAAATTGAAATTCTGTGAATTCAAAATGTCTTTTTTTGTTTTAAAGTTTGTTGTTTCACAAAATTGTCTAGATTTTGTTTTTGTTGTGAACCCTTCGATGGTTTTGAGTTTGGTAATAGATGGCCGAAACAAAATCAGCTATGAGGAAACCAGTTTTCACCAAGATTGATCAGCTAAGGCTCGGCACCAATGGACACAATATAGTAGTGAAAGTTGTCACTTTAGATATGGTATTGCAGAAGGGCCGCCTAGATCATAATCAACTTATTCTCTCTAAAGCTATGGTGGTTTCCATTGAAGTCCAATTGTTCGACGGGCTCAATTTCAATGGTTGCATGGAAAGTGTTTGTTATTTCACTTCAATGAAACAAACGTTAGTTACTGTTTGATTTGATTATAAAATTTCTAAATTGTGGTTTTTTAATATAAGAATGATTGTGCATGAGAAAATTTTTGTGGTAGTGGATTCAAATACTAAACAATCTTTTTGTTGTTGTTATTGTTGAGCTAATTGTGCATTAGGAATGGACTTAGCTTTCAGCCCTAGCCACCGAAGCAGTTTAGCTTTTAGTGGTTCAAATGCTCATTACGATTACATTTGTTGGAATACCAATTGTTTGGACTCCCATCTCTCTCTCTCTCTCTCTCTCATTACCTTTTTTTTTTTTTTANCCTTGTTGCTTTGAAGTTATTTGTTTTGGTCTAATGCCGAAACAAAAAATATTTTCTACTTCTGTCAGGAAAATTGAAGCAAAAAATAGAATATTTGCATCGGCATTAGGGCAAAGCAAAAACATTTGAAGTAAATATTCAATTTTTTTTTGCTTCGGCTAAATTCTAAACCAAATTCTCTTTTTTTTACTTTGGTATAAACTATCGAAGAAAACAATAAGAGTATTTGATTCGGCAAGAGGCCCAAAGCAAAAATTAAGGGTATTTGTTTTGGGATTGAGCTTAAGCAAAAAAATTTAATTCAAATTGACGTAGTTTCATGTTAATTTGTCACAAAATGACGTCATTTTGAACCCAAAAATCCAACATTTTCCTCGTCCATTTACGTTTTCCCTCTTCCCCATTTCCCTCCATCAATCTGTCACCTCCACCGATGAAGTCCCCAGTCTCTGGCGAAGTCTCTTGCCCTTTTCAACACCATAAATGGAGACGATTTCTTTCATAAATCAATTTTGACGATCGCCCCCAAAACATAATTCACAAACGTAGTAGAAAAAGCAGATCCATTTCTGAAACTCCTCAATTCTATCCCTTTGACTCCTAAGTCTAATGTTGGATTAGGTAACGAATCGAATCTCAGTTACTATTTATTTATTATAAAGGCCCAATTTCCTTCTGTTATTATATTTTACTTTGTTCTCAAGATTAGGGTTTTTGCGTCATTGTTGTATTCAAACTTGCAAATTTCCTCCATTCATTGTACGAATATTTATTTAGGTTTTGGACTGATATGGTTGTTGATCGTCTAATTCAATGTTTGAGTCGGATGCATTTTTTATTCATGATCTGAGTTGATTTTTCTTTGCTTCAATTTATTCTTTATGTTAACATCTTCATATCACTCAGACCAGTTTTGGGGTCTACTATGCTAGTTGTCATTGTTGTTGCAAAAGCATATCTGTTGAATAAGTAAGCAAATTAGTTCATAAAATTCTATTGTGACCATATTTTCCATCACCATTGAAGATGAATTCTTTCGTTTATATGTTGATTGTGAGCGGATGCGTTGTTACATTATCAAAATTGAAATTCTGTGAATTCAAAATGTCTTTTTTTGTTTTAAAGTTTGTTGTTTCACAAAATTGTCTAGATTTTGTTTTTGTTGTGAACCCTTCGATGGTTTTGAGTTTGGTAATAGATGGCCGAAACAAAATCAGCTATGAGGAAACCAGTTTTCACCAAGATTGATCAGCTAAGGCTCGGCACCAATGGACACAATATAGTAGTGAAAGTTGTCACTTTAGATATGGTATTGCAGAAGGGCCGCCTAGATCATAATCAACTTATTCTCTCTAAAGCTATGGTGGTTTCCATTGAAGTCCAATTGTTCGACGGGCTCAATTTCAATGGTTGCATGGAAAGTGTTTGTTATTTCACTTCAATGAAACAAACGTTAGTTACTGTTTGATTTGATTATAAAATTTCTAAATTGTGGTTTTTTAATATAAGAATGATTGTGCATGAGAAAATTTTTGTGGTAGTGGATTCAAATACTAAACAATCTTTTTGTTGTTGTTATTGTTGAGCTAATTGTGCATTAGGAATGGACTTAGCTTTCAGCCCTAGCCACCGAAGCAGTTTAGCTTTTAGTGGTTCAAATGCTCATTACGATTACATTTGTTGGAATACCAATTGTTTGGACTCCCATCTCTCTCTCTCTCTCTCTCTCATTACCTTTTTTTTTTTTTTAATTTTAGTTGTAAGGAGAATGTCAAGAGAGGTTTCTGAAGTTGGAACATGGAAAATAGCCGTCCAATATCTGCTTCAATTGAAATCGCAGGTAATTAGCTGTGTAGTTTGATGCCAAATAAGTTCTAGGCATATATCAATTTACAAATAAGTTACAGATGCATGTGTAGACCAAGATTTGATTATGGATGATGGATTATGGCAACAATAGAATTGTAGTCTTTCTTTGGAATGACTTCTGTGAACTAGATGTGAATATGGATTTGGTGGAGTGCAAGAGAGGAGCTTGGTCTGCAAGACGTTTTGCATCAGTTTTAGAAACAGTTTGATTTAGATTATGCACAACAGAATATGTCGGTTGGGTTTATGTTTTATGGCCTAACTTCTTCTTTGTAGTTTTATGCGTGTTGTACTTGGCTTTTTCTTACAATGACTTAAATTCCCAATGGAATATAGGATTTCATTATGATTATATGCAATTTACAAATATAAATCATGTGCATCAATTTTAACTATGGTCGGTATTTGAAAGTATATTTTACGAAAACGAATTTATGTGGGTTTTCTTAAATTAGTTGAAGTGTTAGCAGCTGATTTATATTACTTGAATGTTTTCGTTGGAAATTGAGTAATATATAATGTAGTTGTTCACTCCATTCAAGAAAAAACACGATATATATGCCTGACGCATTTTCTTTTTATTGGCAGCAAAAAATTTGAAGTCAGAATCACTACATCAGCTCTAGATACTTGTTATTATTATCATGTGCACCTTTTTTTTCCCTTACTAATGCTCATATTTTTTAGTTGTTGATTTAACACAAGGGGAAACAGCCTGTTTCACTCCATTCATTGTTAAAATAGACGGACACCTATAATTTGGGCATAGAAACTTGTAGGAAGATATGACATCTTAATCCGAGACCCAATTTAGGAGTTTGACAAGTTTTTCTCCTCACCAAACATAAAATTTATTCATCTCTTCCATTTGTCGTCCTTCAACTTTTTCATTGTATCCAACCAACCATAAGTTTGACAACACTTGTTGTGACTGACATTTTTATTTTGTTTACAAACTAAATCCAACTGTAGGATCAGTCTGATAAGTGATGTCAGTGTGTCGAAAATAAGGACTGCAGTAACAGTGCCAAAAAATGATGCCATTTGTAATTCATCCTTCTCACCAGTTGGGTAGGTCACAGTCGTCTCCATTAGCATAAACTTCTACTACTTAGGTTGAACAATGGACAAATGGATGCTAACTGCTTCCACAGCTTCTTACCGCATGGAAATGATGTGAGGTAAACCAATAAGCTTTTTAGCAGCTTACTTTTTATATTCAGATATTCAAAATGGGACAAAATTAACTTTTGGTACCATATTTCTTATTTTTTATCTATCAAAGCAAGATACGTAAATACGTACAAAATTTGTTTATTTTACTCTATTGTTCACACATTCAACTATTACAAACAAACCAAGCGAAGTCCTACCGTTAAAAACATTTCGATATGGTATATATAAAATTAGGGTAACTCGTGCCTAAAGTTATGGTGTAACGTAAATTAATCGGTTAATTTGAAAAAAATAATTTACTTTAATTTACTTTTTTTGAGAGGAATGTTGATGATTATTAGATAATTCTATTTGAGACTTTTAAATAAGTTTATTAAAGTCTGTCATATTTTATATTATAGATTTGTATAACAGTGGTAGATCTCCTTCAAAATTCATGGGCCTAATGATGGAAAAATTTGCTCCGTAAGAAATAGTTCTAGAAAAGAGTTCTGCCACAAGAGCAAGGGAGCTGGAGCTCACAAGAGTAGAGCTCTTGTCTCCAAAGCCATCTATGACTTGATAATCAGCTCCGCCCTGCATGACTGAATCCTAGTAATGAGATAACGACGAAAGATTAGGGATGAGCAAGGATCAAGCCTATAAATATAGTTCGGACAGTTGAGATCATCCACTTGAAATGATAAACGAGATTATAGTCCACTCCCCCAAAAAACAAAAAAATGATAATTCGACATGCCTATAAATATAGCTCGGGGAGGTAAGTTACTCTCAGTCCAAATATAAACTATAGTCATTTGAGTTAATTATTAACTTAAGTATCGAAAGGTCGACTCCCGTAGTTGCCAGAGGTGTAGTTAGACTTTGTACGAACAGGGCCTATCTTTTGCTAAGATGAACTTTCTTTAGAAGCAATTCAATTGAGAAAGCTTCCTGGAGAATATATTCTTTAGGTACAACAAACAAAAATCTAGGCCGGCTTGATCTGTACAAAAAACTTTTTCATATTGAAGCAAGAAATTTGGCCTATAGCATGCACTTGTAGGAACAGACAAATTAAACCTCTTTCATACAGCGATTCTTGCCTGGCTTTCAACGATAAAGAAACAAATAAAGTAAACTTACAAGAAAGACAACAATACTTCACTGACTAATTTCATCAAAGATATGATTATTTATGACTTCTCTGTATTGTTTAAGTTTATGCAAACATATTTTTAGTTCAATGGTACTCCTTATCTTATAAAGACTTTATTTTTTTAAGATTAAATGTTCAAATTCCCCTCCCCTCTCCTAAGAAAAAAGATTCATAATCATAGTAGAAAGACTTTAGTCTAAAGATGGTATTTTATTTTAATGATCAATTTGATATTTGGAAAAAAGAGAAGGATGGATAACTTTTTATTTCTTCCATTTTGTCATCCATTCTCCCAAATAGACCATAACTTCAACGGAGAGTAGGAATTGACTCCGCGTTTTTAACTGTAGATGATAGGATTATATGATATTATGACATCAATCAAGTAGATTTTTAAGTTATTGTTTATCTTATATATTCTTGTTTATCTCAGTGTGATTGTTTCTTCACCCTAATATATAGGATATAACCAATTTGTTCTAAGTTACAAGAACTAATGTGAAGATGTGCTTTGGTCCATAGATGTAGGTCTTATGATCGAATTACGTAAATTACTTCGTGCATATTGTTTTTGATCAATTTCCATTTATATGTGATTCTATCATGGTATCGAAGCAAATCAATCAGACTTTGCTTGATCTCATTTTCATTTTGTAATATCATGGCATTCATTTCATGCTTTTGTTTCTTGTGTTTGTATGATGGATTATTTCTCATACACAATAATTTCGGGTTAATGTTATCAATTGTCAAATTTATCAAATTTCATTTCGTGTTCAAATTCAAGTTTTTATATTTGATTTTATCAGTATCCTTTTACAAAAGCCTTTACACATAAAAAACTCTTGACTTTGCATACTCTTTCATTTAGAAAACGGGCACACACAAAATAACAAGCTTAATATAAGTGACAAAAATTTAAATAGTATAGCTAAAGCATATCAAGCCAAATAGGTCACCTAAAAGAAAAATTGATGAATTCTATTAAGACCCAATTTGAGGATTTAATACATTGTAGCTATCGGATTAATAGTAGGTCACAACATTTAATAAAATCCACTATTAGTCTAATGATCATAATATATTAGATATCCAAATTATATCCTCAAACCAACCAACCCGGTTTTTCATAAACAAAAATAATGAGTTATGCTGCCCACGTTGAGGTTAAAATTTCTTACATTATTTAGGTTTGTAAATTATGCATATTGCTAACATTCTCTGAGCAGAATGTTGACTTTAATTTAACATTTGTTGCGAGGTAAGAGCCAAAGACAACAAAGACAATGGCTTCATGTCAAAATTACATTCAACCAGCGTCCACATAAACCGCGTCCTAATAAGGTTTTAATCAACGAGTTAAATAATTCAAGTAACATGCTTCCCCCCTATTAGATAAACATTCATCTCTAGTCTCTTACCTCTCTCTCTCTCTCTGTGATAATGGAGATTTCCTTGCAGATCAATGCCAAGATAGATAAAATGGTTACACTTTGTTACAAACCAAAGTATTCACAGAAGCATTCTAATCTCAAATCTTTCTCATGTCAAGCTAAAAGGTTGGCCATGCAAAGTGGAGAAATTAAAACCAACTTTTATGAAGTTCTGTCTCTTGTTGGTTCTGAAAACGTGGGCTTTGATGAAATAAATAAAGCATACAGAAGCATGGCTCTCCAATACCATCCTGATGTTTGCCCTCTTGCAACAAAGGAAGAGTCCACCAATCGATTCGTTGAGCTAAGAAAGGCCTATGAAACCCTTTCAGATCCGATTTCACGCAAGAGGTATGACTATGAATTAGGCTTGGTTGACTCGTTTGCATGCGGATTTGGCAGTCTTTGTGTGGAAGAAAGAAGAGCAAATTTCCCGAAGGAGGTGTGGGAGAGGCAGCTCAGTGGACTGGAAAAACGATCTCGTGATAGAGTAGAGAAGAAGAAAAATGGATGCATGAAGAAAGAGAGCTAGTTCGAATTTTTCTTTTATCCTGTTCTTTACATTAGTTTTAGTATTGTTCATTATGTACTCAAATTTTGTGATATCATAGTAACCACAAAAACCTTTTATTGGCAATTTGAACTTTATAATTCCTTGTATGTACATGGGGCATGCATGCTAATTATCCTTTGATACTTCTTCATTACTCGTACACAAGTATTTGTTTTAAGATTCTCTATCTACACTTATACATGGGATTGGGATACCCTTCAATACACTTTACTTCAATTTTGCTCAATTCAATAGGTCATATGAAAAAAAATTGAAGGAAAGTATGCGTAAATTAAGCTTGTAAATCCTAACCAGATTAGAGTCGCAATAACTAATTAAGAATTCTCCTGAAAAATATTGTATTAATACAAACTTAATATGACTTGTTGCTGTTTGAAAGGAAGTTGGAAAAATAAGGGCGGAAAAAGGAATTGAACAAAACTAGAAAGGATAAAAAACAAAAATAAAAAATAAAAAACAAAACAAAACTAGAAAGGAGGAGGGGAGAGAAGGTGATGCGAAGGTGAGTATAACATTGGAGTGTTTAGGGCATTCCCATTGTGGCGTTCAAAGTCCAATTCAAATAAAGGAAATTAAAAAGTCTAGTCAATCTTCAGTTTTTGGGTCAATTTAAATCAAATACCTGAATTCATAGCAATTCCCGATGCAAAGCTTATACCTTAGGAAAGTTCTTTGATTCTAGTTTCCAACGCATTAAACAGTGCATTATTTCAGGGCCGGACAATAGTATTAAAAAAAGTGAAATTGGGAGTGAGTTCATCTAAATGTACTTATTTTGAAATAAATCTTATAAGAAAACTTATAAGGAACTAAGTCCATGTTTAAAATTATATGTAATGACTTAAGTCCACTTTTTTTTATCTCAAAAATACCCTTCATTGAGAGAAAGTTAATATTTTCTCTCTCATATTTATCTATATTCATATATAGGTTAAGAGCTTAACTAAAATTAAATTTTTTTCTCTATCTTATCTATCTATATTCATATATAGGTTAGGTATATATATATAGTAACATTAAAAAAATAGTAACATTCAAATACAAAAAAAAAAGTTACTATGAATTTGAATAGTAAAATTCAAATTTATGTTACTATTTTTTTTATTATGTTACTATGCATGTTACTTCTTTTGTTGAGTATGTTACTATTCATGCACTATTATTTTTGAGCATGTTACTGTTTTTGTTGACCATGTTACTACTATTATTTTCCTAAATATTAATATTCAATGTTACAATTATTTTTTTTTGAATATTACTATTTTTTGTATTTGAATGATACTATTTTTTGTGTTTAAATTTGAGAAAAATAATTATTGTTAAATATATTACTGTTTTTATTAAGCATGTTACTATTTTTATTGAACATGTTAATATTTTTGTTGAACATGATACTGTTATTATTTTTTAAAAATATTAATATTTAATGTTTCAATTTTTTTTATGTTTAAATGTTACAATTTTTTTGTGTTTAAATGTATTATTTTTTGTGTCCAAATGATAATTTTTTTTTTATTTGAATGTTACTATTTTTTATTTTTAATGTTACTATATATAAGAGAGTGAATATTTCAATGTTAGTCAAACTCTTAATCTATATATGGATATAGATAGATATGAGAGAGAAAATATTTTAATATTAGTCAAACTCCTAAGATTTAGAAATTTTTAATTTTTAGTTTTATTTCACTTCTAAAGGGAAGAGACAGTATGATAAAATTGATAAAAACGGACTTTATAACAAATAAATTTTTTTGACGGACTTAAGTCCAAACAAGTTCATATAGGGGATCGGCCTCCAAATTTCCCTAAAAAAAACATAGATTTTAGGCCCAAATTTTTATAAGGCCCATAATTGTAGGTACATAATTAGTCCATATAAAAAATTTAAATCCATGAAAATTTTAGGTCTTATAAAAAGGCCCCAAAAAATTTAAACCTAATCAAAAAATTGTATGGAAAAATTGGAATGAGGTACACTAAATTAGATTTAATTGTAAAAAAGTACAAAGAAAAAAAGTTGGATAATTAAATCCTTAATTTTGATACTTATTTGTATCTAAGTATATTATTTGAATTTTGTTGATTTTTTTGTGACATTTTTGCCCTCCATTAATTCATGTATTTTTTTTTTTTGGAAAGTGGTGCATTAAATATCTCCTAGTTTTATGAGAGGACTTTAATATATATATATATATTTGTTTCAAGTTTCAGGAGAAAAACATGATGCTTTACCCCAAGCCGTGTATGACTCTAGATGACACAGGCAATTGATAGGTTAGCTAGCAAGCATTACCCTGGAGGACGAGGCAAGATAGGAGTTAGGTATACCTTGGGTAGCTTGTGAGTTTGAGGACATTTTTGTGGACAAACTACCATGAGTACCTTCACATAGGGATGTAAACTTCACTATTGAGTTGCAACCTGGTACATCTCCTGTTTCTATGATGTTGCATAGAATTGCGCCAGCTGAGTTGCAAGAACTCAAAGTTCAATTACAAAAATTGTTGGACAAGGGCTTTATTAGATCGAGCACTACACCTTAAGGCGCTCCGATGTTGTTTGTCAAGAAGAAAGATAAGACTCTTCGATTATATATAGATTACCGGCAGTTGAATCTGATTACTATCAAGAATAGGTACCCTTTGCCACGAATTGATGATTTGTTTGATCAACTGAGAGAGGCGCGGGTCTACTCCAAGATAGATCTACGCACGAATTACCATCATTTGAGGTTTAGGGAGGTAGATATCCCTAAGACGGCGTTTAAGACGCGGTATGAGCATTTCGAGTTCACGGTTATGCCTTTTGGATTGACGAATACTCTAGCGGCATTCATGAATCTCATGCATAGGGTGTTCCAATTCTACCTAGATCAGTTTATCGTGGTCTTTGTTAATGACATTCTGATCTACTCCAAGTCAGAGGAGGAGCATAAGGGTCACCTGAGGGTTGTTCTCCAAACCTTGAGAGACCATCAGTTGTATACCAAGTTCAGCAAGTGTGAATTTTGGCTGACCGAGGTAAAATTCTTGGGGCATGTGGTGTCAGTTTTGGGTGTATCCGTGGACCCAGAAAAAGGTTGAGGTAGTTATGAGTTGGGAGAGACCAAAGTCAATCTTTGAGATACGCAGTTTCTTGGGATTGGCAGGGTATTACAGGAGGTTCATTGAGGACTTCTCACAACTAGTTGCACCTATGACAAGATTGACCCAGAATGAGGTCAAGTTTGAGAAGGATTCGTGTGAGAAGGCATTCTAGGAGTTGAAGAGGAGGCTTACTTCAACTCCTATTTTGATTATTCCAGAAAGCGGACAGAGGTACACGGTGTACTGTGATGCCTTCAATAACGGACTTGGTTGTATTTTAAAGCAGTCCGGAAGGGTGGTAGCTTACAGTTCTCGGCTGCTGAAGAGTCACGAGCAGAACTATCTCACACATAACATGGAGTTGGCGGCCATTGTCTTTGCCTTGAAGGCTTGCCACCACTATTTATACGGAGAACAATTTGAGGTGTTTTCGGACCACAAGAGTCTGAAGTACATTTTTACATAGTGGGACCTCAACATGAGACAACGCAGGTGGATGGAGTATTTAGAGGACTACGACTTCTCTTTGCATTACCATTCCGGTAAGACAAATGTGGTGGCTGATGCACGCAGCCGAAAGTCACTAGGAGTCTTAGCTAATGTGACTTCCCGAGAATGGCAGATGCTCCAGACTGTGGGGCAGTTTAGACTACACTACAGGAGTCAGGCTCAAGGCACTTTGGAAAGTTTGGTGGCTATGCCTTCTCTACTGAGTAGAATGATCGAGTCCTAGGGACAGGACATGGAGATATTGTCTATCAGAGACCGAGTACAATTGGGTATAGGTGACGAGGGTTGGGCCATTCATGCAGATAGTAGTCTTCGGTATAGGGGAAGGGTTGTGGTTCTCCATTTTACGGATCTGAGAGAGGAGATCCTTAGGGAGTTTCATTGCTCTCGTTTTACTATACTTCCAGGTGACACAAAGATGTACCATGATCTTCGTCGCCAGTACTACTAGAATGGGATGAAGAGGCACATTGGAGAATTTGTTAGCCGATGTCTCACGTGTTAGCATGTCAAGGTTGAGCACCAAAGACCTGCAGAGTTGCTCTAGCTTTTGGGGGTGGCTGAGTAGAAGTAGGGGCACGTCATGATGGATTTTGTAACTCACTTGCCACGGACATTGCGGGGACATGACGCAGTATGGGTGATAGTGGACTAGCTTATAAAGTCAGCACATTTTTTGGTCATGCGGATGACCTTCACACTAGAGGAATTCGACTAATTGTACATAAGGGAGATTGTCCAATTACGTGGGATACCCGTATCTATAGTATCAGATCGAGATCCCAGGTTTTGTGAGATAAGACCGTGAGGCCATAGTGAAGGTGCTATGTCAGCACTGAGGAGTGGATATGGGAGTGTGAGGACATTATACATACCAGTTATCCTTTCTTGTTCAGGGATGGAGGTACATTTTTGTAACAATAAGTATTGTATTACTTGTTGCATGTGCATGAGTGTGTGAATTTCGGGAACAAAATTCATTTAAGGAGGAAGAATGTAAAATTGTCTAGTTACCCAGATAATTTTCGTCGAATTTTAAAATAGTCAAGTTTTTTACATTTTTTGAGGTGACGGGTGTCGGTGACCTCGAAAAACGCATAAAAAATAAAATTTCTAAAATTTTATTATAATTTAAATAAATTTCATATAAAAAAATTTAAAATTTAAACTGGGACGAAAATTAATCATTTCGGGACAAAAAGAGACCCGAAAAAGGGGCGTGTGGTGCAACGCGGATCAAGCGTTAAAGTGTATAAATAGGAACAAAAATATGATTATTACACCCATTTCTCTGCTGGATTCCAATGGGTTTAACAATGGAAGAATAAGAGATGAAAACGAGAAAATTCCAACCTTCTC